AAAGCTAAGTATCATATTGTGAACATTGTTCAGAATGAATTTGTGTTGAAATGAGTTATTAGCATTTAAGTAGTCTTAAATTTGGCCATAGATACAATCTTAAGCCACAGATACTCTCTCTAACTCCATTCCTCTTCTACTTCCTTTGAGGCATATTTGATTCAAATCAGGCCTTTAAATTTCCCACCATTCTCTCCAGTTGCTGAATATTGAAACTCTGTGTTGATAAAGGCACTAATCTCAGCTAGTGTTTTCTTCTTAACTTGATGTGAGTTTCACATCTACAGTGACCATCTCCAGTTCTCCCCTAGATGCAGAGATTCTGCAAGACATCTCTGGCACTGCTATCCACAGGTCTCTGATTTGATGCAGGAAGCAAATCTGTAGGTACTGAAAAAGTATTAGAGATATTTCCCTTTTATCTTGAATAATCTGTCTTTCTGGCTCTGATTTTTTCTGTATCCAAGTTTGTGAATTTTTAAATGTCTTTTGTGTGCCAAGGTAACTCCTCCTAGAGGAAAGAGGGAAACAGGGTAGCTAACAAAACCTACTTATCTCAGGAAACTCACAAAAAAGTGAAAAGACTTCCAAGGTTCTACTTGAGATTTTATAAACAGAAATTTATTTATGGGCAGGGGAGACATTTCAGGGGAGCTAGTCAGGAAAATTCAGCGAAAAAGTTTTTGTGAGTTGTGAGTCGTGAGTCATTCCTCCTTCTGGAGTGGAACTTTCAATAAAGTTGCTGCCTTGAATGACCATGCTCTTTAAAATGCATGTTTCAGTAGAAGTAACCTACTCTTTCATCAAACTCATCCTCATGAATAGAATGAAGTGTCTGATCTGTTGTTAAATCAATGTCTTAGAAGAATAAACTCTTTTTTTCCCCACATTTTTTTAAGGAACATCATACAACAATCTTTTCTCTAATGCCATAAACTCAAATGCTGCCTTCTCTGCAGCCATTTACTTCTCAGCCTATTCAACATGTTAGCACATGCAATAGAAACCACACAGAAAACTGGTTTTACACTTTGTTCCTTAGGAAGCATTTGTTATTTGTTTTTCATTCTCTTCTTGGTGTTCTTTACCTATTTAAGCAATAATTTATCAGAGTTAGTTATTTATTCAGCTTCTGTATATGTAGGTCTAGCTAGTCTAATCTTATCTGTCCATAACAAGAACTAGAATACTGAAAAACGTACACAATAACATCACCAACAGTGAACATTAAAATAACAAGAACTAGAAATTGTGGTCATTAATATCCTTTAATATAAATGGACTCAACTCACTTATAAAGAGACATGGGCAAACAGATTAGATATGAAAACAGAATCCAACTTTCTTCTGCATTCAAGAAACACACATCACTGAACAAGCTACCTAAGCCAGAGTGGGCCTAAGGCAGCAAGCTCCCCTGGAGTGGGAGCAGACCCACTTCAGGATATTGCTGGATAAGGTTTGAGCCAGCGACCTAAGCCAGAACAGATCTAAGACAGGGAACTCCACAAGAATAGGTACAGGGGAGAAACTGTTGAGTGAGTGAACCAGAACTGAGGGTCTGGACATGAATCTGGGACCTTCAAGGGATAGTCCTAAGCCAGGACACCTGTGGGTCTGGATGTGAGCCTAGAACTTATGAGGAACTAGGCCTGAGTCAGGTCCCCTGTGGGTCTGAACCTGAATCTGGGACCTCCAAGGGAGGAGGCAGGAACCAGAGATCACTGCAGGTCCAGGCGTGAGTCTGGAACTTCAGAGGGAGTAGGCTTGAGCCAGGACCTCTGTTCCAGGCATTGGTCTGGTACATCAAAGGGAATAGGCAGGAACCAGAAACCTCTGTGGGTCTGAGCTTGAGTCTGGGACCTCTCAGGGAGAAAGCTTGAGCTAGATCCTCTGTGTGTCTGAGCATACCTGAGCCTGGGAACTTCGAGGGAGTAGACCAGAGCCAGAGATATTTGGAGAACTAACTCCAAGCCAGGGACCTCTGCAGGAGCATACCAGGTCAGAATTTACAGAAACAGGTCATATAT